TTAAAGAGAGTAGCAGAACAGTTCACCCCATATTCATTTACAGCCTATGACTGAGGTGCTACAAGGAATCTAAAGCGCTGGTTAGCTGTCTGTGGTATTGGCGCTGTGGTTTGTACTCAATTGATTCATCTTTGTTAGTTATTCATGCATAACATGGTTGTCATGGTTTCCTGTGTGGGTTGATCATCACACACACACATGATAACCTAGGTATTGCCACTGTGGTGTGTACTCAATTGATTCATCTTTATTAGTTATTATTCATGCATAGTCGAAGTCAAAGCAATGAATGGGTGATTACTATGTTAACCAAGGGTTCTGGTCATGGAAACTTGTAACCATGGAAATCAAAGAAACGTTACTATAGAAACACGTTACTATATATGGGAAAATGTTACTATGAAAACATGTTACTTTGGCAACATGTTACTATGGAAACATGTTACCATAGAAACATGTTACTATGGAAACATGTTACTATGGAAACATGTTACTATGGTAACATGTTACAATGGAAACATGTTACTATAGAAACATGTTACTTTGGAAACACATTACAATGGAAACAGGTAACAATAACTACAACTAACTTGTGGTTGTTACTACAGGAAAAAAATTGTGATATGATTTTCATGACAAGACAATACTGTAATTAACACTATGGTCACAATGGTGGTAAGTGGTAAATGCTCTTTCCGATGGAAGGTTTATCGTTGTGATAGCCTTTAACAGTACCTGACGGCAGAGTTATCACTATTTTACATGAAGTTCATTCTGTGGATTCCTCCGCCCAACATCTTGATGTGAACACATGTTGTCATTCTATTGTTTTGTGGCTCGGTCGCTTTGAATGAAACCTACCAGTACATGTATGACAAGTAAGTAACCTGTGCCGCATATAATTAACTGTATTATTAACCTATTATACTATTCTATTCTTACTAGAATACAAACACTATAAGTGTGCAACATAGTGGTGAGTATCCCCGTCTGTCAYGCGGGAGACTGGGGTACKATTTCCCGCCRGGGAGGGGATTTCATTTTTGTATCCCCGATTAGTAGGGCACTTGTGCCCGGCTAGAAGAAATAGAGACATTAATAAAGTTATTATTATTATTATATTATAAATACCACTAAATA